AATTAATCCTCCACTGTCTACTAAAAGCAGCAGTGACTTTCTCTGAAGGAAATACCACTCAAGACAACAGTGATGTCCTTCCGGGCCCACCAATTGTTGCCTCTATACCTGTGACCAGGCTCTTGGAGGGGAAGTAAAAAGTATGCAGTACATGAGGAGGCACACTGTACTTCTAAACTCATTCAAGCAGAAGTCTGGGGAATTCGTGTGGGAATGGATTCTAAGGGTGTGGGATAATGGTGAAAGGAACATGAACTTGGGTCAGGCTGAGTTTATCCATATTAGTCCGCTGAGCAGAGATTGTAGGTTTAATATGGAAGCTTGCACAGTGTCAAAAGTGGGAAGGCCCAGAAGACATGCCTTTGCTAATCCAATAAGAAACAAAATGGTCTGGGGACACCAGCACACTGGAAGAGCTTTGTTGTCACTCACCCCTTTAATTGTGCCATACCTTAGGGTTGGAGACACTGCTGCTGGGCTGGATGAATTAAATGCAATGGTTTAATTGGTCCTGAGGTGGCAGGGAACAAGTGGCAGCACTGAATCACCAAAGTCAAGATGATCTTAGTGATCCTAATGGGCAGGATGGAAAAAGCAATTTCCATAATGACATAACCTATAATGGTCAGCACAGGCAGAGTGAGAACCTTTGGTATTGGCTAGTCAGTCAGTCATGGTGTTTGTTTCTAGGCATGAAATAGGTACAAAACCTACTGAGTTTTTGTTTGATCTATCTATATAAAAAGAAAAATTCTCAAACAAATTTTTAAAAAGCTATTTTGGATCATGGCAAAAGGGAATCTTGGCCTGTGAACCAATTTCCAGACTTGAGCCAGCTTGCAGACCCAGAATCCCTTGAATAGACAGCCAGGTCTCACAGAGGAAGGATCTTGATAAAATACCTAAGTCTTACTGTTTGCCTTTCTCCAGTCCTTCTCCAGAGGGACCTATGGTCTTTTTCAGAGATAACTATGCCACTGGGTGAAAAGAAACAGAATGAATTGATGCCGACTCCAGGAGAAACATTTTGGCTTATGGGTGTCGGGCAAATAATGGAATGTTGGCTGATGCTCAACTCACTTCAGGTCTGTGGGTCCCTCAACTCATCCTGTGGTTATTTCTCCAGGCTCAGAATGTGTAATTGGGATAGATACATTTAGAAGTTACAAAACTCTAATACAGTGATGTAGCAAACCTCAGGTTAGATTGAACTATTTAGCAAGATCCTACCTCAAAAACAAAACAAAACAAAAAACCAACGCCACCCCCACCCCCAAAATGGAATCAAGAATTGAATTGTTGGTGGCTGGCCAAATGGCTAAGCAGGTAAAGTGCTTGTCTTCAAGCCTACCCACTACCTGGAGCAAATGAGATCACAGAACTACAACTGCTACATTCTACCTGCATTCTAAATAGTTATTCTTATACCCAGATGTAAGAGTAACTCACATCTCTCATCAAAGAAGCTTCTCTTTACAGCAGACAGAGACCATGAAAGAAACCCGCAACTGGTCAAAGTGCAGAGAAAAACTAGTTGTGGGGTGTCCAGCATAGGGGATACATACTCAACATAATTCCAGCACTCAACGCTCAGAACATCATGGAAGAGGGTTCAGGAACATTATAAGAGCTAGAGGACAGGAAGTCTGCTCCAAGAGTGTCTCCTAGAAATGACAAGGAAGCTACACCCATGATAACTCAACAATATAGTTGTCTAAACAAAACACACACACACACACACACACACACACACACACACACAGGTAGCATGGGCCTTTAATCCCAGCACTCAAGATGCAAAGGCAGGCAGATCTTCGTGAATTTGAGGCTAGCCTGGTCTACACAGAGTTCTAGGACAGACAGAAAAATCCCATCTTAAAAGCCAAATAATAATAATATTATTGACATGAATAATAATGAATAAATTATTTCTAACCCTGACGCCTCTAATTTTGCCTCTTCAATAATTCACTATTTCTAACTTTCCCAGTTGTTCTATACAGTTAATCAAAGGAGGCTTTGCTTTGTAATTAAACTGTACTAGGATTCCCATACATCCAGGGTAAACCTTTTTACCCAGTGTTCTTGCCCTTCACATGCCAATTTCAACATCCTCGCCTAACCCCCCCCCCATTTCTCCTAACCTTGGGACTTTTGAAGGCATGTTTTCAGTCTCCATTCCCTTTTGTGACTTGCTGTGTTTTTCTTATTTTCCAAATGTTTATATCACTCCATCACCCTCACCCCACTCAGACTGTGGATCCTGGGTTTTCCCTGGCATGTGCACTGTATGTTACTAAAGAAGAGGATCCCAAGCACATGTTGAAAGTTTTAAGTGTACCTACATATTATATCCTTTTGCCCCATGGCCTTGGGTGGCTACAGCTCCTAGGTATCACACTTATGACTTTTAACAATCCTTTTTTAGGGCTGAGAGATGGCTCAGAGGTTAAGAGCACTGCCTGCTCTTCCAGAGGTCCTGAGTTCAATTCCCAGAAACCACATGGTGGCTCACAACCATCCGTTATGAGAGCTGGTGCTCTCTTCTGGTGTGCAGATATATATGGAAGCAGAATGTTGTATACACAATAAATAAATACATTCTTTTAAAAAAAATCCTTTTTTAGCCTTAGTGCCTTCAATAAATGTTACATTATCACTTTCTATGCATGACATCATGTGGGGAAAAAAGTGAAAAGCACCAAGACAAAGTATTTCTCAAATACTTTAATAACACATAAACTCAAAAAAAAAAAAAAAGCAGAGTAATTCCTATAGACTATTGATATTTAAGCCTGATTTTTTTTTTTTTTTGATTTTTTGAGACTGGGTTTCTCTATGTAGCTTTGGAGCCTATCCTGGCACTCGCTCTGGAGACCAGGTTGGCCTCGAACTCACAGAGATCCACCTGCCTCTGCCTCCCGAGTGCTGGGATCAAAGGCGTGAGCCACCAATGCCCAGCATGCCTGATATTTTTACACTAAGTACAGACTTCAGTAGCCTCCATGTCATATCTCATACAATAGACAAAATCTTTTAAGGAAGATGGTGTTTTCTCAAAATAAATGGCAAATATTTTGTTCCTACCCTGTACAATGGGAAATGTCAAGCATTTACAAAGCAGGGGGAAAACGATACCCCACATAGCCATCACTCAGCTTAGATACTCACCTTATAAGGAATATTGCTTTATCTGTAATGCCCGTATAATCTACCCTCCTCATAGTAGATTATTCTGAATCCAGCTGCAAATATCCTATCATTTCATCCATAAATATTTCATATATGCCTACATGCTAAAAGATACCATAGAGATGTATATAAAGATATAGCCAGTTTCCGGGGAGGGGAGGGAGAGAGAGAAGGGACTGACATCTGAAGCAAGCTTGTTCCTAATTTGAACTAATAAAATAAAATAAAAAGATATAGCCAGTTTTCATGGAAGTTCTTATGTTGGTGAATCAGATTTCTGATAGTAAATATTCCCCAGTAAGTCATGAATTAGTTAAAATTTTTTGGGTTTTTTTTTTTTTTTTTTTTTTTTTGGAGACAGGGTTTCTCTGTGGCTTTGGAGGCTGTCCTGCAACTAGCTCTTGTAGACCAGGCTGGTCTTGAACTCACAGAGATCTGCTTGCCTCTGCCTCCCGAGTGCTGGGATTAAAGGCGTGCGCCACCACTGCCTGGCTAAAAAATTTATCTATTAGAAAACATGTTACTCACTACATTTTTTTCATTGCATTTTCTTACAAGTTAAACTTGAAAGTAGACAGTTAGGGAAGTTCAATTTTTTAATGTTTATTGTTAATCATATATAATAGATTTTTCTGTGACAGTTTCTACATATATACAATATATTCCAGTCACATCTGTGTCCCTCCTACCTCCATTGATCGCCTCCCATTCCTAACTAGCCCTCTTTATACTTTTGTGTTTTTGTTTTATTTTGTTTTGGCTTCTTGGTGATCCAATAGTTTTCATTAGGGTTGTTTCAGAAACATGGGCACCTTCCTGGTAGCTACACCACTTAAAATGGCTTCCCTTCCTCTTGGTCTAGTGGAAGCTCTACCCCAGCCCCTGGCATCCAGATACCCAAAGAGCCTGGAATGTTCTGGTGAAGTCTCCATCTTAATCCCTTTCCTCCATCTCTTCTCTCCCCAAACCCTGCTTCATCCCAAAAAGGCAGCCATCAATGACTCCTCCCCCAAGATGGCCAGGACCATGCCTACCAGCTGAAACCAGGCCAGCTCTGCCACGTGTGCCCTTGTGTTCTGTGCCCTGCTTCCTTGAGGGCCACCCAGGAGTGCTCTGCTATGCAGTGTCCTGTTTATTAAATCTGGATTAATTTGGCTTTATTTGGCAGAGGAATCCAGCAACCAGGGATCCAATTCTTTTTTTTTAAATATTTTATTTATTTATTATGTATACAACATTCTGCTTCCATGTATATCTGCACACTAGAAAAGGGCACCAGATCTCATAACGGATGGTTGTGAGCCACCATGTGGTTGCTGGGAATTGAACTCAGGACCTCTGGAAGAGCAGTCAGTGCTCTTAACCTCTAAGCCCCGAGGATCCAATTCTTAACACCTCTATCAGCCAATAACTACATATCATGAGAAGAGAGAGGCCCCATTGAGCCCCTTAACTCCTACCCTGTTTTGTTTTGTTTTGTTTTAGTCCACGAGAGCCTGCAACTCAATATAAGCCCACACTGGTCTCAAACTCAGGAATCCTGGCTCTGACCCTAAGCATTAGGACTATAGTCATATGCTACCATACACAGAAAACAGATTTAGCAGTGTCAATTCGAAGAAAGAGATAGAGAAAAACTGTACACAAAGAACAAAGACCTTCTACTTCCTAGAGACAACTGACATTCTATGAATCACTTGGCATGTGATGACATCCTAATACTATGTAACTATTATTCACAAAGGAATTCTTATAACTGTATATAAGAGAACTGCAACAAAATCAATTTTTTATTTAATAATCCTTACCTTTTGTTGGACTGAAATTCTGATCTATAAAGCCCCTCAGTTCTGCATTTGTGGATGTCAAACCAGCCTGGATTAAAAAAAATTAATACTCGGATCTGAAGTATTATAGCATTATTTAATAAACTATTTCATATCTTCTATCAGAGGTCTATATCAAGTATTATATATAATCTTAAGAAATAAATCAATTATATCATCCATGTTACTCAAAAGAAAATGTTACCATAGGAAAACTAAGAATTTTAGATTAAGAATTAATGAAATGTTTCTTATAAGTTAAATCAAAATCCACAAATTTTCTAAATATTTTAAAGGCAAGTAATATGGCAGCTGCCAACAGATAAATCACAATTCCATCCTCAGGGCCAGAGGCTTGGCTCAGCAGCAGAACACTTGCCTAGCATGTACAATGCCCTGGCTTGATCTCTAGCACTATAAAAATAAGAGTAATTATATCCTCATTGCTGCCCTTAATTTCTAATGTTCTTAATCACTTCCACATAAGTACCATGAATGCGCTAAGCACAATGACAGCAGCCTCAAGTCCATTTATCTGGGTGCACACTGGCTCATAAAGCCGACCACTGTTATGTGTCCTGGTCATGCCATTCAAATTACTAACTTGAGAACCAAGGAGATAAGTGATGCAGAGCACGAGGCACAGTACATGGAACACACCTTCAATCTATGTCAACATTCATTAGTACCACGCATCAGCACCTCTCGGCAGCAATCTGCCTTCAGACGGTGTATTCCACTAAATGCAGTATCTGCAGGGCTATCTGGTATCACAGATGAAAATGCAGTATCTTAAGAAATACTTGTGTCTTTTTGTGGATACAAGGCCTCATATGCCCCAGGCTGGCCTCAAGCTATATAGCTGAGGATGAATCTTCTGAAATTACAGGAATGCATGACCATATCCAATTTTCACCAAAATTTGAAAAATGTGTTTCAGAGCCTAGAGGAATCTCCATTTTGAAAACTTGGCACAGGGGCCATCAAAATGGCTCAGGGCATTAACTGTTTTTGGAGTAAGGCTGATGAGCTGAATTCAAACTCAAACTCACAAAAAAGATAAAAGAGGGAATCAAATCCACAAAGTTGTCCTCCGACTTCCACAAGAACATTGTGGCATGCCCCCCAGCATCATATACACACATAATACAATTTTTTTTTGTTTTTTTGTTTTTTGAGACAGGGTTTCTCTGTACTGCTTTGGAGCCAGTCCTGGAACTCGATCTGTAGACCAGGTTGGCTTCGAACTCACAGAGATCCACCTGCTTCTGCTGCCCAGAGTGCTAGGATCAAAGGTGTGCACCACCAATGCCTGGCCATACCCTCTTTTCAAAGATATCTTTAAAGCAGTTTTGTGGGAATAGAACTCATTATATGGCCTCAAATTACTGATCCTTATCTTGATGTTTTGATACATGTCTAAATTATTAAATGATCACTACAATCAAGCTAATTAACAAATCCTTACTTTTATGGCAGGTTGTATGTGTTCCTGAGTGTAAGCAATTCTGCTACAAAGAGAAGACAAAATTTTAGTCTGTCCTACTTTGAAAAGAAAGCAAAAATGGCAAAGACAACTTTTAAATGTGTGTGTGTGTGTGTGTGTGTGTGTGTGTGTGTGTGTG